AATCTCTGAGCTGATTTCTCTGTCTTGAAGAGAATGGCAAAAAGACTGAACTGGCTAGAGTGTGTTCCTTCTAGCAGCAAGGCAATGCCTGGACAGTTCTAAGAGACCAGTCATAAGTTTTTGCTTCTTGGCCTCCTTGAGATGCCTTAGTTTCAATTCTGTTCCCAAGAACTTCAATAAATTCACATTTGCTAATTTAGTCAGCTTTGGTATCTGAAATCAGAGAATCCTAATTGATACTACACACATACATGAATACAGAGATATATATGGATAAAACTTCCCAGGAAACATGCACAGAATTAAAAAAGGAAAAGAGCCGAGGTGAGAATCCCAGAGGATACTAACATTAAAGAGGAACTTAAAGAAGGAAAAGAAAGTATAGTATTGTTCAAGAGGCCATGGGAAATTTGAAACAAGGGGAGTAAGTCGTCAACAATGGTCAAAAGCCACACAGAAATACAGAGAATGGTATAAGGTAAGGTGAAGAAGCTTGAAGGGACACACAAATTAGGGAGACCTCCTTAATTAAACAGAATTTTTCTTTGGGCCAATGGGAAATAAGGAAGATTAGGGTCAAATAATTGAATTTAGATAGCAGAGAAGAGTGAACAATTGTGCTGCTTAAAAAACACTGCTAACAAATGATAAAATTTAATTTTCATAATAATTCCCTGGAGTTACTAACTGATACACAGAAAAATTCACCAAATAAACTGAATAAATAAATTCTAATACTACTCTTGTTTTAGATGTGAGGAAATTTCCTCTAATACCTTCAGTCTAGCTGCTCTGGTTAGACTTTACAAAGTTTAAGTGAATGGGGACAAGGTGGGGGATAAGAAGGCACAGAAAAGACAGATAGTAGGTTGTCAATGAGGCAACTCTGAAGTTTATTAATCTTAGAATTCTATTTTGAAGACTCCATTTCATACATTTATAACTCAGAAATAAATTTTTTTTTAGCTCCTTGAGGTCAAGAACCTAATTTCTATTGTTTTTAAAATTTCTAATTTGATATCCTTTTTTTATATTGGAAAATACAGTGGACCTTCAAGTTACGATTGGCCTGACATCCTAACAACTTGAGTTACAACTGGAGTGGTAGTTTTAACTTACAAACAAAATCTTGAGTTACAACCCGAATGCTGGCCGCTTGTGCGGGGTTAACTGAGAAGTCCCGGGCCATTGTCTCTCTAAGGACACTGAGATCTGCCTGTGTGCAGGAGAGAGGCTCTGAAGGCTGTGTAGAGGAGCCTGCGCCTTAAGTTACAACCAGCCCTTGAGAACAAATTGAGTTGTAAGTCAAGGGTCCACTGTACTGATGAAATTTAATTCATGTGTAATGTGTTTTCCTTCAATTCAAAGGCGTTTTCAGGGTAATAATAACAGCTGAAAAACATTCTTACTTTGTCTTATATTTAGTTTTGAGTGGATGTTTTTCTGTCATTGTTGTTCACTTGAAAGTGCCTGGACTTTTCTGATGAAGCAGTGATGAGTGTACAGTATATGTAAATTAGAGTACGGTATTCAGTCTGGGTACTCCATTTGCTCTCCATGTTGATCTGTGTGGTTTCTGAGGTCTGTGCAGAGACCAGGATCCAAATGACCACTGTTTTCCTACGGGAACCCCAGAATCTCAAGGACTTCTACATCTACTATTTCTTCATTGTCGCAAACGACTTTATTTATATACAGCACTATATTAAAAAATATTTAATGAATTGAAAAGAGAAAGTTCTAGGGCCAGTTCAAAAACTGAGGTCTGGGGGCTGGGGATTTAGCTCAGTGGTTCTGCCGCCTGCCTCGAAAGCGCAAGGACCCAAGTTTGATCCCCGGTACCAAACAAACAAACAAACAAACAAAAACTGAGGGCTAAGAGGCAGACAGAACTCTCACAGAAAAACTATGGAAAGACAAGCTGTGATTGCTGATCATGACTGTCAACCTGACTGGACTCAGACACCTAGCACATCAGTAGAGAACACTTTTGGGTGAGTCTGGGTGAGTCATGAGGCAGTCTCCTGGGGACTGGATCTGATTCCTGCCCTTTCCTCTTGGGTGCTCTTTCCAACTCACCCTGCTCCCTGGCACCATAAATTGAGCAGCTTTACTCCACCATGATGTTTCTGTCTTGGAGCTGACCAATCATAGGCTAGAAAAGAGCTAAATTAAACTTCTCCTCCTTTAGGTTGTGGGAGTTGGGTACTGTGTCCCAGCAATGAGAAAGCTAAGCCAATACACGACTAAGGTCCTGCAGAGGAGAAGAGAAAAGCAAGAGGTGCTAGCAGGGGCCAGGCACCCAGGAGAAATCCAACTGCAGTCATATCACAGGACGGTGGCAGGTGGTGAACAGGGAGCAGAGGTAAGGATGAAAGTGGAAATGAATCTGAAGCACTTTTTCTACCCCAGTTTCAATGGCCAATGTCTTTCATATTTTTCAGTTCTACAAAACTGAGTGCTTTTTCCCTAATAAAAAGATTAAAATCAATAGTCTGTAGTAAAAATTAAACTTGTATAATGTGGGTGGGAAAGAAAGAATTTAGATTTGGGCAGCTGGGGTTATATGTAGCTCAGTGGTAGACCATGTGCCTAACATGTGTGAGGCTTTGGGTTCCATTCACAGCACCACCACCAAAAAAATTGAGATTTTTGAGGGAGAAGTTGTTAATAGAAGAAAAGAGCAGCCTAATAAAGTCTGAGTGGCATGTGGAAAGAAGTAAAGGCAAGAAGGCCACGTATGCAATGTAAATACATTATATTTCTGGGGCTGGAAAAGCAAGAACTGAATTTTGAAAATTTTCTTATATTACCTGTGGTGTGCATAGAGGGAACTATGAAGACTGCAGAGACTCTAGGATCTTAATGATCACTGTTTTAATACAAAAGTCAGAGAAGTTATGGAAATAGGACACAACATGTAAAAGAATTAGAAAACAAAGAGCCCTTTGTAAGTTTGTTAAGATCACCAGAAAGAAGGGCCCTAATGAAGGACAAGAACAGAGAATTTATTTTATATATATTTACATTATGTAAATTGTATAAAAATTGAGTTTAGAGATAAAAGAAAAGCTTAAGCTGTGGGGGGTGGACTGACAGATGATGACAGATAGATAGATAGATGGATAGATAAAGAGTTGTTTTTAAACATGTGTATGAGAGAAAGCATTTAAAGTGATGAGCCTGATTGGAAACAAAACATTTATGTTGAGAATATAGGGACTGAAAATCAGATAGGAAGGCAGGGGTGAAAATTATACAGTAGTTACAAAATAATTCAAGTTTAAAAGTTCTTTGCTTTTCAAAATTTGATAGTAATTCTTGTAGAATGTTTATATAAGCAATTTAAAAATTTTTAGTCAGAAAACATTCTGAGACAATACCTAGCCTATATAGAGAGGCATACTTTACTCATGAAATTGTACAGTATATTTAGACAGCAGTAGTCGGCTAAATAATTCTAATGTTTTATTCTTCCACCTAATTCTAACCATCCCAGAAAGAGGCCTTATAGTATGCTTCGGTTTTCTGATGACTTAAAAAATCTTTATGAAAATTTCTCATGTGCATTTTTCACATTTAATTCTAAAATTGTAACAAATAGTTTTCCTAATAATTACAGAAAGTTCTTAAAACTTTATTTTATCATTTATTAATTGGATAAAAGAATATTTTAAAAAGCCAAATTGGCAAGAATAAACATTTTAATTTCTGGGCCAATGAGAACACTTACCTCCAAAAGAAGAGGTCCTAAGGATTCTTTTTCTATCACTCCTTGACTACTTGATGATATATCTGATTTCTGTACATCATCATCAGTTGTTGATTTCTCTGTAATAAAGAGACTTTAAAACTCACATATCAAAAAAGAGCTCATTTCCATAAATGCAATTTTATGAAGACATAGATTCATGTGGTTTTTTTTTTTCTTTGGTGCTGGTACTGGGAATTAAATCCAGGGCCATTGCTCTAGTTACATTCCCTTTGAGACACTGTTTTGCTATGTAATTCAGGTTGGCCTTGAACTCACTATGTAGGCCAGGCTGGCCTTGAACTTGTGTTGATCTTCCTACCTCAGCCTCCCAAGTGCTGGATTACAGGCATACCATGATCCACCCTTCTGTTATTTGTATTTTGAGACAGGGTCAGGGCAGGTTGCTAAATTGTCCAGTCTAGGCTCATACTTGTGATCTTCCTTCTACTATGCCCAGGTAGGTTTTTGTTTTTTAAACGAGTTCTAAAACAAAATTCATCAATTTCATGTAGGTTAAATTACTATATGTGAAAATTAAAACATTTAAAATTTTAGGGAAAACTTAAAGCAAGAACAGTTATGTGACTAGTTTCTGGCCTATGGTGTGTGAACAGAGGCAATGTGTAGTTCTGGGTCTTGTCTATGAAAAGGAGAATGGAAATAGGACACAGGAGATCGGAATAGGAAATAGAACCGTTTCCTGGTTTTTCTGTCCTCTCTTGTCAAGCCGGGACTTGGACAGGGGAGCCCTTGTTGACTAACATGGAAAATGGCAGTTCCCTAGCACACACAATGGGGCACACAAGATGGAAGGAGTCTGGATCCCTAACATACCTAGACTGTCTTGTGAAAGCCATTGTACTTTGGGTGTCTTGCTCCACTGACACCCTTAACTCCATACTTGTCAGTAACATGATTATGTGCTGTAGTCTGCTCATGCCTTTGCCCTTGGTAGACATATCTATTGTCATGCTATCATGAAAGGTAAGTATTTAACTTACTTACAGCACCCACCACACACATATTTCCCTTCTTCTCATCTTCTCAATATATGCAGTTAAAACAACTTTTACAGGAATCCACACTTAATAAATGGGCCAATGTGTGTGCTGTAATTTACATTTCTTCTCTAATGTTTTGTCTGTAGCTTAATTTATCTGCAAAGTATCCTCCTGATTTTATTTATTTATTCATTTATTTATTCTTTGAGACAGGGTCTTGCTATGCAGGTTCAGGCTGGCTGCAGATTCATTATGTAGCCTAGGCTGGCCTCGAACTCACAGTGATCCTCCTGCCTCAGCCTCCTAAGTAGCTGAGCATTTACAGGTGTGTCCCATCACACCCCGAGGGATTTATTTCAAATAATCTTACATTTATAAAAAGTACTGTGGGGAAAACACATCAAGAAAGGCGTGTCGATTTTCCCTATTTAAAAATGTTTAAACAGAGTAATTAGAACAATTTCACTGAGAAGACATATCTGAGGAAAGACATAAAATGGGTGAGGGTCCAAGCCTAGGGAAGAGCACTGCAGACAGAGGGAACAGTGAGCGCAAACACTTGAGAGAGTGTTAGGGAAGAGTGAATGAGGAGGAAGAGGAGAAACGGAAAAGAAGCAAAGGTTTTCCAGATACTCTGTTTCAAAGTTATTATTTTCATGGACAAAAGATCTTCCCTATGTCTCTGAAGAATGATTTGATGTTTAAGTTTTCTTCTGTTTCCTGCACTGCCTGAGTCTTCTTTTCTGTTTGCTTGGTTTGTTCTTTTTCATACTATAGGATTTCCAAAAATATCTGGGATTTTGCTGATACTAAAAGGGAGGCACTAAAATGTGACTGGCAACAGTCTGAGTGGTGCGGGCAGGGTAAGCAGCTCATTTTTCCTTTGAGGATTGTCCCCAGAAACCTTTTGTGGGGACGGCATCAGCTTCCTCAGAGAAATCCTGCCATCTTTAGCTTACGGTGTATTAGGCAGGCTCCTGGTGCTTGCAGGCCTCCAGTATGGTTTCTCCTATCTGCTAATGGGGTAGTCACTAGACTGTTTTTCAGATTCTAAAATCTTAAATTATATAACTTTAATCATTTTCAAGGTATTTGCCTAGAGTCTTTCATAATGTTGCTATTAATCTGAAGTTCTTTTGGGTCTGATTCTCCCATCGGTTGTCTGATATGCTAGCACTCACCACAGATTATTTCCCCCTATTTTTTGTACAGTTTTAGTGTAAAATTACCTTCAGAAGCATTTTTTCTGTGGCACTTGCATGGGGTGGGCACTCAGAGTGTTCTTCAAAGTGCTTTGCCTTTGTTCTGGTAGGCAACCCAGGGGTTTGGTGGTGTGAGGTTCCTGGTAAGCATGGGTAGTATAGCATGAATCTTAAAAATATACCAGGGTTTTTTTTTTGGTACCAACGGTCAAACTCAGGTCCTTCTGCTTGCGAGGCAGGCGTCGGAATCACCGAGCTAAATCCCCGGCCCATCAGGGTTTTTTTTTCAGAGAAAAATGTTTCCTCCACCCAGACTCCAGGTAGAGGCAAGCTTCCTCCAGCAGGCAGAAATAAGTTTCCTTTAGTGGAGTTACCGTTCAACTTTATGCTTGGAATTCAGGTCCTACCCTACTATTTGTGTCTCCTTTCTCAATCCCCTATAACATAGAGTCCCATAACCTTTGCAGGCAACAAGTCTTCAAGTTAGTTTAGTAAGCCACTTTGTTTTAATAAGGTTCTCAGACTCAATAAAATAAATACCACCCAAATAAAAACATTTCTTTAATAAAATTATAAGACATTAATGCAGTTCCTTCATAATAAAAGTAGAGACACATGTGTCTTAATAACAAAGAACATAGCCATCTTTTTACCTTGTTCCATTCTCTTCATTAGCTGTATCTGATCGACTGTTTTCTTCAAAATCTTGCATTTGTCTGGTTTTACACTCAAGCTGTCAATGTCACTGATGTTGGCAGACAGTAACTCAGCTAGCTCTTCTAAGTATTTATTTTCTTGTTCCCTGCGCCTCTTTTCAGTGCTGTTACACAAATAAAATCCAGTTAACATACATTATTCACCTTAGTTTCTTCTCTGCTCAAGAATTTAATGCTTACACATACAGAGAAATCTTTATTTTTATTGAAAATATAAAAGCATATTTAAAAAGCAATTAAATTCATATCTACAGAACAGACACTACAAAATACCAAAGTGCACAAAACAGTTCTGGAGGAAATACAAAAAAGTGAATGATTGTTGTAACAGATGTGTTTCCCCAATGATGTACATGCATACCTTGAATATATTTAAATGGCAAATGATTACTAGATATGAAAAGGAGCCAGACAGTAAATCTAGTGGTTGTACTTAAACTACTTTACATTCTAATAACTCCTTGAGCAGTGAAGCTGAACCGGTCCAAGCACCTGGAAGGAAGCTCCCCTGTCGCCATCCCAAGCTCCTAGGGCAGAGAAGGTGAGCTGGTCCCAGAACCTGGAAGGAAGCTCCCC